CAAGCACACAGCAACAACTGAACTCTCTGTAAAGAATACTTATGATTTAAGGCTGATGAATTTTAACACAATGATAGACTGTAACGTACCTCATTATAACACAGAAAATGTATAGTTATAGCCTAGATTATCACAATAGTTGGCAGCAGTGCATGCAGCCACACACTCATTATATATCAGTTATTATGAGCTCTGCCACCTCTCTGTCATGGGAGCAAATTAGAGTGAGTCGCACTGGAACCCCAGTATTCAGAATGGGAAAGGGAGAAGAAGGCTGTCACAGCACTGTTTAGGTCTGGCCCTGCAGCCTCATGGTACAATGGGCAGTACAGTAGCCAGTCCTGCTGCTTACTACAGCTCTGGAGCCAGCTCCAGCATCATCCGACCTGCCCTGCTACCAGCAACCTGTGTCCCTCTCAGGGATGACGAGTGATATTGCCCCTGGGTAGAATAGGCTAGAAGTGGGGGCTGAGTGTGCTGCAGATAAGACCAGGTTGTTCCTGTAGACAGCAGCTGCAGTGGGAATGGCTCCACCTGGACTGACAGAGTGTACTACAGGTAAAATTAAGTAGACGGAGATAAATTTAGTCTTCAATGGGCTAACCCAGAGAATAAACAACTGCATTTAAAGATGAATTTCTCCAAAGTCTGAAAAGATCTCTCTTTCTCTCTGCTTATGGGAGGAAAAGGTTTAATTAAAAATAAATTAAAATAAAATGAATAATAGACTTATATTGAGAAGGATTAGGATAAATTCACCTCACATCAGGAAAGAGTCCTATATAAGAGCACTACAGTGAGATGTTCCTGATCTAAAGTCTTTCAATCAACCCCCTATAAGCTTATGCACTTTCATTTATGTGATTTTTTTTAAATCACGTGATTGCTAAGTGTGTGGTTACAAGCAAGCTGAAAATCATGGCACCAAGACACCACAGAACAATTCATTATTCAAAAATTAATCTAATTGTGGCACTACCCTCATCCTTGGGTCCGAAGAAGGATGATATAAAGTGGGATGACCTGGCAGGATCGGTGAAGAAAGCCTAGGAATGGGGGCTGGTTTCACAGATAGACTGAGGTGACATGGAAAGGGGGCTGATAGTAACAAGGGAGGCTCTTCTTCTTTTCTGACACATCAGACTAGGTTATATTGTCTGTAGGTGTGGTTTGCACTTCTGAGTCCATACTCTTATGAGAAGGTGATATCACAGGGACAGAAGCAAGAGTCATGACTGCACAGCTTTTCCACTCTCCTTTTATACATTGATACAAACAAGTATTATACTCCATATTCGTTAGCATCCTTGTATCTTGTATCTCATAGTTTAATCAAAACACCCTCATCCATTATTCTGACATCCCAGCCTTATCTTTACAAGGGGTCAGTGTCCATAGCCGCTACAAGAACACAGGTGCTTCTCATGTAGCCCTAAGCTGCTTTAGTGAGAGAAGGCTGAGGTTGTCCTCTCTTCCTGGGGCAGCCTGCATACTCAACTCATCATACCTACTCCCATCCCAGACCAATGATTTAAATGAAGAAAAACAAAACTTTTTTGAGTTGAGGACCCAAGAAACTCCAGATAAATCTTCCAGTTAACAAATAATTTATTCAAGGATATAACAATTATTTTTTCCCAGATCATACTGAACTTAACCTCCCAATTAACATTTATCCTTCTTCTTACTGAATCTGCTTTAGTTTATGTGGCTACAATCATACCCTCAGAGGTGTGATAACCTAGGCTTCATTCAGGCTTCCATAATAGAGGTGTTTTCTTTGTATCACACTGTAAAATGTTAAAATATTAAGATCAAGATTAAAATACTAGATCAAGTTTTCACAACAATGGGCGACCAATGCCATGTAAAAAATAAACATAACATATGACCAATACCAGATCAGTCAAGTAAACGTATTTTTTCACATAGCTAAATAAGTTTATAATGTGTACCATTATCATATATATTAAATATATAAATAGAGAGAAACTGGGAAGGTAAGAGTAAAGAAAGGAAAGAATTTTCTAAATATATTTCTCCATCTCCTCAAAGGAGGAAAAAATAAAAACATACTATTGCAGAAAGAAACTAAATAGACATCACTTTTAAATGGTATGGTGACTTCACAAGAATCATAGAACACTAGAATTAAAAGGGACCTCAAAAGGTCATTGAGTCCAGTCCCCTGCCCTCACAGCAGGACCAAGTACTGTCTAGAATGATCATCCCTGATAGGTGTCATGTGTTTTGCACTCTGGAACCTGTGAAATTCCACACATAAAAAGTCCTTGTAGTTGCTATTTTGGAATAATTTCACAGTAGCAATTAAAGATGAGCTTTTCAGAGCGACCTTAGGGTATGTCTACACTACCCCGCTAGTTCGAACTAGCGGGGTAGTGTAGACATACCCTAAGGTCGCTCTGAAAAGCTCATCTTTAATTGCTACTGTGAAATTATTCCAAAATAGCAACTACAAGGACTTTTTATGTGTGGAATTTCACAGGTTCCAGAGTGCAAAACACATGACACCTATCAGGGATGATCATTCTAGACAGTACTTGGTCCTGCTGTGAGGGCAGGGGACTGGACTCAATGACCTTTTGAGGTCCCTTTTAATTCTATGCAAATGAAGCCCGGGAAATTCAAATCCCGGGCTTCATTTGCAATTGCGGTATGCCTACATTACCCCGCTAGTTCGAACTAGTGGGGTAGTGTAGACATACCCTTAGGGACTTGGATATGTAACCTCCTTTAACTTAATGGGAAATGGGTATCAAAATCCCTCATTTAGCTCTGAAAATTCCATGTAGACTTTTAAAAGATTTTTTTCTTCATTTCACAAAAGCATTTCAAAGCCAAAATATTTTTTTTAATTGTCACCTAATGACAATGGGAATTCTCTGCTTGAAAGAAATACAAAATTACAACTGCAATATGATCTGCAGTCATGGAACAATGATATCTCACAATACCCACTCCATGTACAAGTTGGAAAACTGTATTTAACACAGCAGCTGCATCTACAGAGTCATTTATCAGAGGGCTGATGAGACATTTCATCAGGGTCTGTGGGGAGCTGGCTCCAGACCCCCCAGAAAGGGCAGGCCTCAGTCAAAAGGAGTGGAACTGGAGGTTAGCCTCCCCCAGCCAGCCCTTCAGTGCTACTGGGGGTGCAGAGTGCACACTACTAGGGCTCTGGCAGCAATTTAAAGGGTCCAGGGTTCTAGCCAATGCAAGTGGAGTAAGAGGGAAAGTGGCAGGGTATGTATTCCCTGGCCCTTTTAACTCACTGGGTCCAGGGCAGCTGCTCCCTTTTCACTCCCAACCCTGAGAGTGGCCCTGTATGTCCAGATTGATTATTTTTTTTCAACTGTATACCAATTTTCAAATAAATTAATTGATGTTAATAAGTTTTTGTTGTACCCTAGTGGTTCTATATACAGCACATTGTAATGAGTCTAAACAACTCATTGACCTAATCCAATAGGAATGAAATTATTCTTATACTGTACTATATATTAAAAGTGAAATACACTTTGTTCAGAGGATTAGTACATGGCTATACATCACTTAAGCCCCCAAAAGTAGAACTTGAGTGGTGCTTAGGCCTTGTGCTAGACCTCTGGCAAACAAGTGACTTTCATTCAAGAGCACTATATTGTCTTCAATGAAAGTCAACACAAAAATCTGAAATTACTAAAACTAATAGTTTGTTTTGAGTGTAAAATTATGGTATACATAGTATACCAAATTTAAACGCTCTGAAATTTAAAGCAATCTATTATTAAATCCAGAAATACTGTGTTTACAATGGCTTTATGCAAGGTGTCACTACCTAGCATAGTTAAAATTACATATCACTATAACCACAGCAATTTCTTGAGTAGACACCATTTCTCTGACCTGAACAATATCTCTAACCATGAATACACTATTTTACTGCTAGGAGTTTAGAAGTCCTGTCCAAATTTTATACTGAGCACATTCTATTAATATATGTATCAAACAGTAGATTATAATTACTCATTCCTTTATGTTCACTGACCTAGCAATAACTTTGTTGTTTATTATAATACACTGTGCCTGTTCCTGGTCATTTTAGATAATCTCTCATGATCATCTCTAGTACAACAAAAATAGTTTCACTTCTTAATCTTGTTCTTTCCTTTTATGGTTTCAGTAAATGGAAAACTGTAATTTCATTCAAACTGCTATTAATTTCTTTTTTAAATTATGTAATCTGAAAGAGTTTAATGTAACTGGAAACTTTATTAATCGGTGAGATATTTTCAATGGAGAAATGGATTACATATGAAAACAAGCTTCTTGGGGCTAATTTTCTATGGACTTTCATATTTTGTAGAATTTCACACCTATACAAATCAAGCGTAAAATTTTATCAGATCTTAGTGGTAGGATTTTACTCTACTTTGCACAGCGTAAATATCACAAACTGCTAGGCAACAGAGAATCAAACCTCTTTGGGTTTTAATAATAGTTACATGTAAAATTCTTCTGACACAGCTTTTACACATTTTACCTGTTTGGTCATTACTTTTGTGAAAAAGTGTGTCAAGCTAAATCTATAGTCAGGAAATCTTGAGAGTCAGGGCTTCTAGTTTATAAGAACTGGATTCAAGTTTGCTTTGCTCACATTAAGTAAGTTTTGTGGTATTAGAATCCCACTTCAGATTTGCGTCTGCCTCATGAAACTACAAGGAATGTGACAGCAACTAACTAGATTAGCAATCTCATTAAAATGTGGTTCTTTTCTCAAAGATCAGCATTGCTGCATGTAGAAAATAAAGTGAACTGGAAAAACCAAGTATGTAGGAAGGTTCCACAACTCTTCTTTTCATGATGCCTGACTATGGACAGTATTATTGATCTTTCATGAGCACTAAAAAGCAACATTTAAAAAAATCTCTTAAAGATCCTCACTTGTTGGCACACCAAATTTTACAAGCAAAAGAATGGCTCATTTTTCATATGCTTACCTTTTGCTGTAGCCATCTTTCCTGCTTTCTTTGTTTTTTCCTCAAATTCTTCAACTTGTTTCTCTCTCTTTTGCTTAGATTTTGATTGACAGCAGCCATGGAAAAATGAGTAGGCTGCAGAAGATCAACAGATGTGAAGTGTTGCTGTCCAATATCCTCTCCTACAATACTCACAGATGAAAAGAGGTCCATCACAAAAGGCGGTTGGTCAGCAGGGGCACTCCCAGCACATTGTTCAGAAGCTTCAAAACTGCAGTCACCTTCTGTCTCTCTATGTGTTAATGTATTGCAGGAAGTAACTGAAAACTTTGCTGTTAGCTCATCAGTATCAGAATTATACAGGCCCTGAAAGCAATTATTTCTATTGGACTCTAATTGCAAGCTACCTCTTGTGTAAATAGGTTGTATTTCATTTTGCCTGTGATAAATAGGCCCTTTACTGTTAACTCCATATAAACTAGACAAGACAAATTTCTCTCTGATATTCAAATCCAAACTATGTGCTTTTCTATGACAAGTTTTTATAGTGCATTTATCATTCATGGGCCATGAAGCTGAATGACTTTTTGTTTTACTATACATTTTGAAGTGCATTTTTTTACTATTCATCTGAAAGCTGGCTGATCTCGCCTCCAGGCAAAGTGCTTCTGTTAATCTTCCAGTACCATTCATATTTTCGGCCATGTATGAAACCCGTTGATTTCTGGGTTCCAAAATTCCACCTGTCATTCGGTGTTGTATTTTGTTGTTAAAACCAGATTGAACTTTGCAAAATGACATGTGTTTTACTGAAGATCTCGCTAGTTTAACTGAACAAGCTGGCTGATAATCAATCCGACTCTTGCAGAGATGTATATTTGCAAACAGGCCACAAGAACATTTTGTATTGCTGACAAAGTTAAAGCCTCCTAAACTGGCTCCACAGAATGGACAGTTCAATTTTCCAATCATCCACTCTGCCTATAGATAGAAAAAAAGACACCCCAATGAAATCAGTGTAAATAAAAAAGAAACCACTGTTTTTCCTCCAATAAAGTGATCCATATTTTATCTTGTGAGTGACAAAAAAAGACTGTGCAGTTAAAACAAAACAAAACATAAATAAACTGTCCATTCAAAATAGATATATAAAACTCTTATTCTAGAAATGCTGTGTCTAGAGTAAGGACATTACTGTATCATGGATAAAACATTAGACTCTTTAAAATGATTAAATCATTCCTCAAAGCACATTATGAAATTTTACCTACTAATTCACAGTTAAGTTTTCTAAGTCTTCATACAATATTTTGTGTACCAAACACAATAGGAAGAGATTTTCCACAAGAATGAATCAATGTCCACATATCACAGAAATTAAAAAAGGGTTATTATGTAACATAAGTGATAATGTAGAGTACAAGCTAAGATATTAAAAATCAGAAATTCATAGCAGAATTGGCATAAAAAAGAAACTGAACATTGTACGTACTAAAATATGTTCATTAAGCAGTGAATTATAAAATGAAGTTTATTATTTTCCATAAGTGAAATTATCAATAATAGTTTATCATTTTCAAGTCAATGCTTCCTGTATTAAGCAAAATACATATCAAAGCTCCAACTCTGCAAACATTCATGCACATTCATTACTTAAGAATGGAGTAGTTCAAAGAAATATATTAATCTTTTAAGTGGAGCTACTTGTATAGGTAAAGTAATATACATTTAAGTGTTTGCAGGATTAAGACACAAGTGATTAGATAGCATTTTAAATGAAGGCTAGACACTTCCAGTCCAGGAACCTAAAGTTAAGTTATATTGGAGGAGGTGGTGGTAGCACTGCCTGTTATTAATATTGCCAGGCACTTCACATTTTGCAACCTGTTTTCAAGTGCTTAAAACAGACTTTGGGCAGAAAGTTTCCATAATTGGTGTTCGTCTTGGGCTGAATTTTCTGGTGAAGTTTCAGTCAAAACAATTTTGCTATTTCAGGGAACAAGGTTAAGGAAAATCAGATGGGGACCTTCAAGGAGAAGACTAGGACTGGCGGCTCAAACAGACTGGAATGTGGTTGAGAAGCCTGAGGAATGGTGATTGAAACTGGTCAGGCAAACATGGGATTGGGACCGGTATTCCCCCAGGACTGGGGAAAAAAGGGGACTAGGACAAACACAGGTTGGTGGTGACCAGACAACAGGGGTCAACCTTAGGGAGCAAACAGAAGGGTCTTTATCCACTAGCGCCTACTTCTCTCTAGTGCCTGGAAGGGAACTCAAGAGCCCTGAGTTGACTGTTTCTCCACTGTTGGCAAATATCTGTGAAATCTAGTGACAAAGTGTTTGACTCATTCCTTATAGTGCCAGTCCTTGCAGATGACATCTCACTGCTGATGCGAGTTCTCTGGTAGCTGAAGTGACATAAGACTGTGAAAAAGACCTAAAAGTTCCAAATCTGTTGATTAACCTTGTGTGTGTCACTATAATGCCAGATGAAGGAATTACAGTTTTTTTCAGTCTACTTTTTTAATAAAAACTAAGAAAAACTAACACAAATTGTTAAAAGATTATTATTAAGGTTACAAAAAGTCAAACATGCAAAAATTAGGAAATGACTGCAATCTTAATTGGTTTCCTTTAATTTGTTTACCTTATGAACATATATTATGACACAATCTTTAATTATATGATCACATACTTTTTTTTCATAAGACTCCTACACAGACTGGACGGTACTCACTTAATGAGCAGCTATTTAATATTTTGTATCTTCCTCATCGTTCAGCATGTGCCTTCATGTTTTATTTACTGAATACTATCCAAATCCTGAAGAAAGAATTATTCATTTCCTCATAGCTTTCTTATGCTGTGCAACACTTCAGTACTTTAGTGCTTCACAAACTTTAAATCATTTATTTTCATATGGCAGACTGAGGCACAGAGATACTAAGGGCAAAAGTATCCACTAATTTTGAGCACTCAATTTGAGCCAAGTAGAGATTGATTTATTAGAATATTTAGCATGATACAAGTATCAGAGGGGCAGCCATGTTAGTCTGTATATGCAAAAACTATGAGGGGTCCTGTGGCGCCTTTAAGACTAACAGATTTATTTGAGTACCAAGGCCCACTTTGTCAGATGCTTCTGATTAAGTGGGCCTTTACCCATGAAAGCTTATGCCCAAATAAATCTATTTGGCCTGGTCTACACTAGGGCTACGTTTACACTGGCCCCTTTTCCGAAAGGGGCATGCTAATTTTCCAGGTCATAATAGGGAAATCCACGGGGGATTTAAATATCCCCCGCGGCATTTAAATAAAAATGTCCGCCGCTTTTTTCCGGCTTGTAGAAAAGCCGGAAAAGAGCGTCTACACTGGCCCCGATCCTCTGGAAAAAAGCCTTTTTCCAGAGGATCTTCAAAGTAGGAATAAGAGATCCTCCGGAAAAGGGCTTTTTTCTGGAGGATCGGGGCCAGTGTAGATGCTCTTTTCCGGCTTTTCTACAAGCCGGAAAAAAGCGGCGGACATTTTTATTTAAATGCTGCGAGGGATATTTAAATCCCCCGCGGATTTCCCTATTACGACCTGCAAAATTAGCATGCCCCTTTCAGAAAAGGGGCAAGTGTAGATGTAGCCTAGGAGTTTAGCTCATAAGAACATAATAAAGGCCATACTAGGTCAGACCAAAGGTCCATCTATCCCAGTATCCTGTCTGCCAACAGTGGACAATACCAGATGCCCCAGAGGGAGGGAACACAACAGGGAATCTTCAAGCAATTCCTCTCCTGTCACCCATTCCCAGCCTCTAACAAACAGAAGCCAAGGACACCATTCCTACCAATCCTGGCTAATAGCCATTGATGGAGCTATCCTCCATAAATTTATCTAGGTTTTTTTTAAGACCTGTTAAAGTCCTGATCTTCACAACATCCTCTGGCAAGGAGTTCCACAGGCTGACTGTGCTCTGCACAAAGAAAAACTTATTTTTGTTTGATTTAAACCTGCTTCCCATTAATTTCATTTGGTGACCCCTAGTTCTTATGTTATGGGGAAAAGTAAATAACTTTTCCTTATTCACTTTCTCCACACCAATCATGAATTTATAGATGTCTGTCATATTCCCCCTTGGTTTACTTTTTAATCTCTCCTCATATGGGACCCATTCCAACCCCCTAATCATTTCTGTTGGCCTTTTGGAACCTTTTCCAATGCCAATATATCTTTTTCGAGATGAGGCAACCACATCTGTATGCAGTATTCAAGATGTGGGCATACCACGATTTTATGTGGAGACAATAAGATATTCTCTGTCTTATTTTCTATCCCTTTTTAAATGATTCCTAACATTCTTTTTGGTTTTTTAACTGCCGCTGCACACTGATCGACTTTAGACACACAAGGTCAATTTTCTAAGTGATGCATTCACACTACCAAGCCTGTAGCATTGACCTTAAGAGCTGTGGAAGTTGATTTCTGTCCTGTTTTTCACGAGGAGTAATGCTATTCCTGACCTTGCATGGTCAAATTTATGCTAGAGTAGATGCAGGGTTGCCAGAAAGTCAACACTATTGTCCTCTGGGACGCCTTCCATAGCTTCCTGCTCCGACCGCTCTGGCCACAGCTTGCACCTCTACTGCTCTCCTGCAGAGCTCAAAAAGCCCTGGGAACAGTAGAAGGACCTGACCCGTGTGGTCAGCATTGTGATCCCATTGCGAGGGAGCAGCACTCCACAGCACATGTGGAGATGGCGTTGCGTAATCCCAACAACAGTGAGATGACTTTGAGGACTTCAGCTCCCATGGGTTCATTCTTGGAGCACAGATGAGAACCTGCCAGGAGTGTCCAGGAGATCTTGAACCTCATCAAAGTGTGAGGTGATGAAGCCATCCTCAGTAAGGTCCAAACCATCAGGAGGAATGCCAAAATATATGGCAGGATTGCAAGTTGCATGGGGCTAAAGGATATTCCAGGGACACGCAGCAGTGCAGAGTCAAGGAGCTGTGCCAGTCCTACCACAAGGCAAAGGAGGAGAACGGACAGTCTGGTGAGCACCTCACATATGCCACTTCTACAACCAGCTAGACACCATTTTGGAGGTTGGCCTGGCCAGCATCCCCAGGGTGATCATGGAGTCCAGTCAAGATATGCCTGGCGTGAACCTGGAAGACACAGTAGTAGTGGTGGAAGAGGAGATGGAAGAGGAGCCAGAGGAGGAGAAGAGTAGCCAGCTGGTGATCCCTGAGAGCCAGGATCTCTTCATGATGATGAAGCCAGTCTTCGCCTCCCAGGATGTCTTCCAGTCCATCACCGAACCCAGGGAGGGCACTTCCAGTAAGTTCACAAACTTTGTCTAACTATAAGTGGGTTAAAGCAGTGGGGTGTGAGGTGTTGCGCACTCTGTGACTACACAGTGCGGGAGACGCAGAACAGCTTGTTTACGTGTTTGCACATGGAACAGATGTCTTTTCTGCGCAGCTCCATGATACTCTCAGGGTATGTCTACACTACCCTCCTAGTTCGAACTAGGTTTCCTAGTTCGAACTAGGTTTCCTAGTTCGAACTAGGTTTCCTAGTTCGAACTAGGTTTCCTAGTTCGAACTAGGTGTAGGCATACCGCACTTGCAAATGAAGCCCGGGATTCACGAGGAGTAACGGTAGTTCGAACTAGGAGGGTAGTGTAGACATACCCTCAGATAGCAACTCTTTAAGCCTTCTCACAAGGTTTTTTGGGAGGCCAGCCTTATGCTGTCCTCCATAGGAGGACACCTTTCCATGCCAAGCTCATCAGTAAATGGTCCAGCATCAATGAACCACAAAATATTGAAGCATAATGCCCAGATTTATGGCCATATTCACTCAGCATACACTATCAATCACGTGGTGTGATTCAAAGAACACTGATTTACGCATGGCAACCTGCATGGAGGAGGAGAATCTATTAGCACTCTCCCCAGGAGGCCATGTGTATAAACTGGAAAGGAACCAGTGTTCCCAGGAGGCCATGAATGCTGGATACAGCGTGTGCTGGACACAGTGACAAGCCAACCCACTCCTCCCCCTCCTGCCTGTCTGCAGGCTTCTGCTCTGGCTGGGAAAGAAGCACTGTCTCAGAAAGCCATGTGTGCCAGACACAGTTGGAAGCCACCCTTGCTTCCACCCCATCACACCCAGCAGGTTCCAGCCCTGGCGGGGCGTTTACCATGCCTACCTGCCTCCAGACTCATTGTGTCCCGATGGTCCCCTGAGAAGTCTGTGCACCTGCAATAAAGTGCCCACTTTAAAGCAAACATTTGAACTTGCACGGAACACATCTTCTTTGTCTTTACAGAAACCTTTGATGTAAGCTAACAGATTAGGGGTAGGTTTAACACAATGTAACTGCTGTAAAGAGTCTGCCCTTGTAACTTTTATTTGCAGTTGGGACAGCAGCCAGCTCGGTGCATCCTCCACCTCTTGCAGCATCTGCCTACCTGGCTTACATCGTAGGTGTACATGAACAAGGGAGAAGATGTTCAGGGAGCAAATGGACTGCATCCACACCCTTGTGGTGGAGATCCAGGCAAAGCGGCAAGACTAGATTGCAAAGTGGAAGGAAAGGAGAGCCAGAAAGGAGCAGCTCATGAGACAACATGAGACCACATTTGCCTCCCTGACAATGTGATGGAGTGTGTGGCATCCTGCCTTGAGATGGCCACCTCCCAGAACCCCTCCCACCTTGATGACACCCCAAGTCTCTCCTCCATCAGCCCCGTGGTTCAACTTCCCTGAGTCCCCAAGGGCCACTGGGTCCATGTGGGAGGGGGGAACTAAAAGGAAAACAGACCCTCTAGGCCTTCAGGAGGCAGAAGACAGACCCACTCCCATTCCTGGGCCCACCTCCTCACTTTCTGTTCCTAGTTCTTGCACTTCCCTGTTGTTTTCCACTAATAAAAACTCATGTTCATTGGACAATGGCCTCTTTATTATCTGAATTGCAGGGGTAGGGTGGGGGATTAAAGGGAAAAACAGGGAATTCAGGAGCTACTTGTGGAGAGCCAGATTGCAGAGTCTCAAAAATAGGCTTTGCATAAAACTGTCCTTGAAGGCCTCTCTGATTCACACTTCCCCTTGCTGTGCTATCCTGATCGCACTGGTGTCCAGCTGCTAAAACTCTCTGGCTAGGTGCTCTGCCTCAGCCCCCATCCTGCCAGATAAGTTTTCCCCTTGCTCTTGAACAGGTTATGAACCACAGAACACACTGCCATCACAAAGGCAATGTTGTATTCTCTGAAGTCCAGGAGAGTCAGGAAACCCCTGAACCTCCCCTTTGAATGTCCAAATGCACATTCCACCACCATTTTTCACCAGCTCAGCCTGTTACTGAACTCTTCCTTGGTGGCTGCTAGTGTAGGGCTTCATGAGCCATGGGAGCAAGGGGTAGGTTGGGTTGCCCAAGATCACTATTGGCATGTCCATCTCTGCAACTCTGACTGTTTAGTCAGGGAAAAAAGTTCCGGCATGCATCTTTCTGGGCATCATGCACCTCTCCCCTTTACTCCATGCTGCTGTCGGTATAATGGCCCTTGTGATCCACAAGTACCTGTAACCCTTGCAGTTGATATACTCCATGGGTAGGTGTTTGGGGGCCAAGATGGGGTTGTGTGTTCCGTTTATGGTGCCACTGCAATTAAGGAAGCCTATCATGGCAAAACCATTCACTATCGGTGTCCACATTTCCAAGAGTCACAATCCTTCATAGCAGAATTCCACTGATGGCCATGGCTACTTCTATAGAAGAGCCCTGACTGTACATTTCCCTACCCAAAACCGATTCCCGACTGACCGGTAGCTGTCTGGTGTGGAAAGCTTCCATACAGCAATTACCACACGCTTCTCCACGGTCAGAGCGGGTCTCCTTTGGGTTTTCTTATACCTCAGGGAAGGGGAAATCCATTTACATAGTTCCAGGAACATGGCTTTGTGCATTCAAAAGTTCTGCAGCCACTGCTGATTGTCCTGTCTGCATCACATTGTGGTCCCACCAGTATGAGCTCATCTCAACCACCAGAATCAGCATTGCACTATGTCCAGAGGATTGACTGGCAGGTGCGCTAGCATGAGTGCCAGGTCTTGCCTGAGCAGTGCCTCCATCCCATGCTGAGCTTCTTCTTCATCTTCTTCCTGATGGAGCAACATTCGAACATTCTTGAAGTAGAGTGCCATGAGGTGCACCACGACAAACATGAGCATGACAATACTCTCCTGCACACCAGACTCCAGGCTCATGCCGCTATGGCATCCGCATGGGCAACCAGGGAACAAAAAGGCATGAGCAGACTGCCTCCTGACAAGGAGGAGGGAGTAGACAAGTGCATTCTGGGATGTTGGCGACATGAGCCCCTGACCGCCCACAGGAGTAGATGAGTACATTTTGGGATGCTGGCGACGTGAGCCCATGACCACCTGCAGCAGAATTTTGTACCCAGTGGACACCATGAATATAGATCAGAATGCAAAGTTGTCCATTGTGCCTCTCTCTTTGTGTTGATGGTAGGTTCCCTAATGGGGACGTGCTACTTCGGACTACTTTTGATTCTTCCCCACAGTGAGGACTCAGACCTTCGACTTGCAAAACCAGGAGATAGGAAATCAACCATATTAGATTCCACATTATCTCATAGTGTACACACTCTCTTCCTCTAAGATGTCACAGGACTGTAGCATGCTACAGTACTTCATATATTCAAAGCACTGCTTTTGTTGTGGTCAACTGCTGTTATGAGTACACAGCATTCTGGAAATCAGACCAAGCTTCTCAAATCAGGCATCCAGAAACAGTAGCTGATAAAAGTTTGGTTTAAGTGACTTGCCAAGTATCACATAGGAACTCCGTGGCAGAGACCAAGATAGAATCCAGTTATCCAGGGAAGCATTCAACTGCCTTAATCATGATATCCTTCCTTCTTTTCCTGCAATCCCATACCTCATTCACTACATTCTGACTTTTGCAACAAACGAAGCAGGTGTCCTACAGTCAATAGTTTGCTTCAGTACATAATTCAGATTCATGCTCAGAACTAGTTCATCCTGTGCTCTGAATAAGGCAGGGTCATGTGTAAAAAAATACTGTGTGATCATATAATTAAGGACTTTATTGTAACAAAGGAGGTCAAATTAAGACTACACAGGCAACCTTAATTCTGGCATTTCCTAACTTCTGAGTATTTAACTCTGTGCCATTAATATTTTAATATAGTTTTACGTGTGTAATATCAAACACTATTAGCTGTTTCTGACAAAATGCTAAAATACAATAATTTTTTCCCCAAATGAAGGAAGCTGTCAATATTGATGGAGTCCCAAAATGAGATAAAATCAGAAAAAGAAAATCATAGCCCAATATCACTGCTTATTATTGTCAGTTAAATAAATTCTACAATATTAGCTACTACCCGAAAAGTATTAACTCAAAGAGAAGATCCTGGAAGAAGTAATATCTTGATGAAAGTTGTCAGAGATTATTTCAAGACCTTTTATAAACTGTTAAAGACTCAGAAGAGCCAGAGTCTATCTTTTCACTGGATTTGTAAAAGGCTTCAGATTACCAGCAATGGAACTATTTGTTATTCACTTCCAAAAACAGTCATCAGGATACAATTAAAAAAAAATCTAAATCTCTACTAAAACCCCATGCTCAAGTTTCACAAATGATCTCTCTTTCTCTTCAGTCTAGTTCTGTGGATGAATATCATTCCTTCCTTACCAGCAGCATTAGAACTGTTAGCTACCGTAATCAATGCCAACAAAAACAAAAAGGCTAGATTTAAACTGGAGTAGCTCTGTTTAAGTAAATGGAGCTGCTCTATCTTGTAATTGTGGATGATCTGGCCCAAGATAAATAAAAATTCATATATAGATCAGGCATATATAGATCTTTTTTCTATATCTTAGTATAAATTCATATATAGATCTTTTTTCTATATCTTAGTATATATGCAATAAATAATATAATAAATACTATATGTCAATGGCACCTTAATGCACATTATGGACTCAAGAAACAATCTCGCTTATACAAGATAACAGAAGTATATCCATCTGCTACATCATAAATGCTGCCCTGACTAATGCCTGCTACCCCTATTTATTTTCCAAATAAAATATCAAATGCCATGTTTATAAATCTAGGACTCACCTTTTCTATTGCACATTTCACCCAGTCTGGAAGAGCTTCCAAGTTCATGTGCCATACGTTGCAAGTATACTGAGAAACAGCTGAATAATGTGATTTCTGTTAAATAAAGATACATTATTTTACTAATAAACATTCATGTATATATCATTTTCTTAGTATAGTGCTATTAGAATAAAGCACAAAGAAAAGCATTAGGAAAGGGAGAGAATTTTTTTTTTTAAATATAGCACTTCCTGAATTACCTTATTTACTGACAAATTGATAAAACCATAGATCCTGGTAAACCCACTAACCATGTAATCAGGTAACTGTATTACATAGCATTATGCTTCTGGTTCTCCAGACAGTAGACAGATTCTCTAACCCGTATTTCTTCGCACCATGTTGGTTTAATTAGAGAACACATAAATTGCTGGTTTTGCCTTTTTTGATCCTGTAGAATGTTTGCTCTTGTCTAAACTACAACAATGCGTACCAGGAACTTGATTTTTAAAACAGTGTTTCTGCCAGGGCAAAATCTGTCTTACATTTTCTTTTTTAAAATGTGTTCAAGAATAGGTTGCTGCTAAAATTTTAAAAGCAGTTTTAATTTTTTTAATGTTTGTTACTGTAGTATAGACTAGTGTATTACCAAAGTGTATTACTATGTTACTATGGCAGCAACATGAAGAACAAAAAAGAAATAAAAATGTGATGAACAAGTATTTGGAACTAAGGATATTTCTAGACAACAGTAGAGCCTTAAAAGTGTTAAAGGTTTACTAACTGCACTTTAAATAATTACGCCGATCCACCCATTCTTTCATTTTGAAGATACTAGATATAGGATCTTAGGCAAGTATAAGGTATGAAGCTTATCTGGACTGGTATAGGTCTCTTGTGCTGGAGATAGAGGAAGAGTGTGGGTACCACAGACATGCCAAATGGATTCATACACATAGATCCTCTGTCCATTAATAGAGTAGCTCCAGAAACTGCAAATGCTGCTTTGCTATTGCATTAATGTCTGGAAAGGATAGGTTCTGTCTTCTTCATTGTGTCTATTGACAAGCCCTGCAAAAAGTCAATTTACTCTAGGTTTGCATAAAAGTCAGGATTTTTAACTAAATGTTAAAAACTCGTTCATCACCTCTGTATCTGGTCTTAAGGTTTGTTCCAAAAGTTCCACCTCTCCAAGCCTTCTTTACTTATTATTCAGCTGGTATTATGTCTTCCACCATGAGTTTGAAGTGAATGCTTTCTCTCACCCTGGGTGTAACACACTGTGCCCGAACTCAACATTACATACTCATATTCATCACCATCAGATAATTATCAGATGTTCTGTACAAAGCATACTTTGTGAGGTATTCAAAACCTTGATCTGCTAAACATTAATATCCTGTTGGATTGCATGTGCTAACATTGTACATGCAGTTTTGCTATGTATGAGTTACTGGAAGATGTTGTGAAGTGGGAAACACCCACAACTAGCCTTTCAGGTACAGCTATGAAGAAAGTAGACAATCTAATAATGCCCCATTAGCAAAAACAATGAATCATGGAAAAGGTATGTTCTCTCTTGGGAACAATCCAGACAGCCTATCAGTAATGGCTGCTATAACTCAACAAAGCAGGCAAGGACACATGACCAGACACATGACGCTGAACTCCATTTTGGCATCTGTACTTTTCCACAAACTGAGATGAGAATGTAGCTTGGAACAAAAGAAAATATATAAGGTGGAGAATGATCATGATTTGCCTTCAAATTTTTGAGAATTTTCAGTAACTCTCAAAAATTATTTGTATTGTTTAATTGATTAATGTAAGGGTGGGCAATAATATGGCAGCAGTTCACCACAGTTAGCCCTGGGTGGGCAGCCGCTGCTATATTTACCTGTGCATCCACAGACACTGGCACTTGAAGCTCCTGTTGACTGCGGATCGCTGTTCCCTGACAACAGGAGCTGTAGGAAGCAATGTGGACCAGGACAGTGCTTCCCACAGCTCCCACCGGCCAGGAACAGTGATACACAGCCAACGGAAGCTGAAATTGCCTGCACTTGTAGCACTGACCTGACAGGGGCTAACTCTGGTGAACCAGATCCAGCCTACTGGCCAGTATTTGTTCACCAGTGGATTAATGCTAAATAATTACAATGTATATATATATATTCCTTTTTAACACCAGTAACAGAACACACTAAATAGTCATTTGCCTTTTGGTTGTTTTAAGTTTTTGTTTCCTACAAAAAGATTTTAAAGGATAAAAGAAATCTACAACTAAAACATTTTTTTTAATCTTATCTGTCCTATGTCCCAAGGGTGCCAGGTGCATCCATTGCCAAGCTGATCTTGGGTAGCCCCATGTTGGAGGTGGGGGAGGAGGGGCTTAAGCCCTTGACCTCTGGCTCTGGAGGCAGGTACCTTTATCTACTGAGCCACTGAAGGAGCCCCCCCAACCTCCCTACATTCTGGGACCCCCTTATCTGTCCTATGTCCCATGTTTTTATTGACTTTTAACAATACAAATAATGGTTTCTTTTTAGAGAAGTTATTTTACCAACAATGCAGTCTGAAGAGTAACTTTTCTGGTAACATTTTTATACAGAGAAAATAAAAAACACACATAATGTAAATAATTGTAAAAATATTTTTTCCTTTGTTAGCATTTAATTTTCTTTCCTCAATGGCAACAATAGAAAGCATTCATATTTTATTTATTTTAATACTTTATTATTAAATTATTAGGAACTAAATAGTTTTCATAATCCCTCAAATTACTCCAAAAATTATACTTTAGAGAGAGCTGATGGAATGCTTTTGCTATAGCATTACAGAACAAATTCAAACAATTGCATTAAAAGAACAGTTTCAAACATGAAAAAGAAAATATAAGAAAGTTATTCTTGACAGCTAATGCCATCATGTTTTATCTGTTTGTCTGGGTGTTTATGTGATCTTCATGACTGTCGTCTGCAGGGAAGACTGAGTTAAATCAAGGCAATTTAACTCTTATTTAAATCACCAAAAAAAAAAAAAATCACTCATTTAAATCAAGTTTCCCGTTGATACTTTTGCACATACAGCTTCAAACAATGGTGCAAAACTGATCACTAAAACATGTTAACTTACTGCTCGGTAAAGCATTTTACATCTCAGAGTATATATTTTATTTTATTTTTTAGATAACTTTATTAATTTAAGAAATAGCACATAATACTCTTTAATTATGACAAGCTGCAGATGCAGCAGTACATTAGTAATTGTAAGAAATAAATTATATACACAAATACAACAGCACTTATATTTTATTAAACAAAATCTTAAATGTTTCACATTTGCAACTGAAGCAGTCTCCTGAGTTGCCGGCCGATGGTTGTCCTTAAACTTTTTTTTTTAAATTTTCAGATTTTATGAACTATAACAGACAAGTCCTCAAAACACTGAATGTATGGTGCCTTTAAAATTTCTACAAATAGTTCTCATCTTCCCCACCCCCAGTGTCATTTATATACAGATCTGATTCCAAGTTACCAAAAAAAATCTAAGACTGACTGTGCATTGACTGCACTTAATTTTGGAGTAAGCCTCACTGAAAACTAGAGGTATGTCTAGACTACATGGCTCCATCAACGGAGCCATATAAAGTAGTTTACTTGGCATAGACAAAGAAGTAGGGATTTAAATAATCCCCACTTCATTAAAATAAAAATGGCTGCCGTGCTGTGCTGACGATCAGCTGATCTGGCACAGCACGACAGTCTAGATGCGGCGTGGTCGATAAGGGAAGCCTTTGTCGACCGCTCCGGTATGCCTCGTGAATCCTCGAGCCATGTAGTCTAGACATACCCTACTATAGGATGGGAAAGCTGAGTTGTGCTGAAGTGAAATAGGGAACAGACCTATAGAATTATGCTTATGGTCTGTGACCATGATGTTTAAAAAAAAAAGAAGCATGTATTATGTAATATAAAATAAGAAAATGACATTTAGTGGCAACTGGTAACTCTAGATTTTTTATTGCAGCTTTCATATACTGTATACGTGGTTGATTTTCTAAGCCTAGTTAACTAATTAAACAAGCCATAAGGATTAGCTAAGGTAAACTTTTTTTTTTCTAGCAACATCCAACATAGCAAACAACTTGGGAATTTACTTATTAAATTACATTTATACTAGAAAGCATAGACAGTTTTGAAGAATGATGCATTCCAATGTTGATCTACATTATTTCTTCAGACATATCCACATCATTTCCCACCAATAAGCAGTTTTCCTTATGATGTTTCATTCTTACAAGCTAAGACTTGCATCATCCTCTTGCACTGTTTACACTTGACACATTTCCTCCTCCTCCTGCTCCCCCCCCTTTTTTTTACTCAGGGAACAAATTTATTCAAAATATTCCAAGACATGGGCTCTTTTACGCCCAGAAGCCATGACCATTTTTCTATGGCAAATGTGTGAGGGAATACAGGAAGCTGTATGTGCTGCATAATGTCTTCCATTTTCTTTCTAGTTTACTCAACTGTTCCGTCCTATGCTGTCTACATCTTTTCATATAAATTGTGTGTCTGTCTTTATTTAATGTCTTAACTAACTCTACCATGCTTGGTCAAGGTCCACCACCTTATAAGCATAGAACAAAAACAATCCTATCCAGCCTGTGCCTGTCTTTGCACGTTAGTCTACTGAGAAACAGAAATTGAAAGCAGAGAACTTTCAAGAACAAGAGCTCGTTTTTTAGGCTGGACAGACTAGAGTCATTAATTCATTTTTATAAGACTTTAAGTGTAGGTTTTGCATGTTTGTGATAAAAGTTAACTTTAACTGTTATTTTTAAATGAGAACATTAGTATTTCATTGATGATTAAATATTTTTAAAAATCAGATTAAAAATTTGTAAAAGTTTTTTTAATCATTGATTTTTATCCACCAGGGTCATCTGGAAGGATTCAAACTAATTCTCAAATACTGCTGAGTTGTAAAGGATTTCAGCTTTCTGAAATTTTCACATTTTGCCATAGAATATTATTATAATGCAATTTTAAAAGTTCACCTTCACCCTGAGGAAGAGAAATTCCTCATTTAGCACAGTGGACTGGATTTTA